AGGTCCTTGAGGAATCGCCACACTGTCTTCCACAATGGTTGAACTAGTTTACACTCTCACCAACAGTATAAAAGTGTTCTTATTTCTCCATATCCTCTCCAGCATCTGTTGCCTCCAGACTTTTTAATGATTGCTATTCTAACTGGCATGAGGTGGTATCTCAAGGTGGTTTTGATTTGCATTTCTCTAATAATCAGTGATGAATTACATTTAATAAAAAGTGTGGTAAAACACACAAATGTTTATTTTCTTTTATTTTTTTTTCTTTGTAAAAGCAAAAACAGAGAAGGCAAGCCAGTGCTAATCATATTGATTACTTACAAAGAGTGGGTGGAATAAAGTTTTAAAAGATAAGTGGAGATGACATTCTCAGAGTTTCCCTTTTTGCACAGTTTTTACATTTGGAAACATATTACTAGTTTATATATTAGTTTACATTTTTAATATCTGTATATTTTAATAAACAAGTATATATTTATATTACTAGCTTATATATAGTAATATGTATTTATATTAGTATTATATACTCAAACAAATTTAATAATACTGATTCCATTGCTGAAGTCTGGAGAGTAAAAAATGAGTCTAAATCACCTTTTTTGTGACAGAAAATAAAGTTACCAAAATATTACTACATAGATTGATAAATAGCACATATGTATAGACATGAATGTAAACATAGATACATATACATATATATTTACATACTTTATCCTAGTGTTGGTACCAGGTCAAGGGGCTCCCAAATTTTTTTGTCTGAAATTGTATTTTATTTGTCAATATTTCTGGTGGATATTTCCCAGTGGAAATAAAATGCTATAATGGTAGTTATTTTCTTTCAGTACTTAGAAAATGCCAAACCAGTATTTCTCTTGTGAATATGTTGGAGTCATTTTGTCACTTCAGTAAATGTAAATTGTAGGTTTCTATTACTTTTAGGATGTGTGTATACACATGTGTAATATACATGTCTCATTTTTGGCTTTATATGCTACAAGTGTATTGCAAGAAGATATCCCCAAAATGTGATCAAATTGATGGATGAGAGTTTGGTTTTAATCATAATTTCTGCAAATGGCAATTTGGTCTCATCTTTCTATATGTTAACACTACTTTTTTAAAGTTTATCAAATGGGATTGGATGTCCTATACATTTTTTAACATGAACACAAATTGCTACTGTAAAGTTTTTGTGTTTATTTGGTGCTCACTCTGTCAGGAAGGAGGCCTTTATTTTGATAAAATGGATTTAGGGGATGTCTCTTAAGTTGGCCATGACATTTTTCTTCTATTATATGTGATTACAGTTAATCAAGTTACAGTGTTTTAGATTGTTCAAACAAATGTTCACTTCTTTTGTAAGTAGTATATGGCTCTGATTCATTATGTTTCTACAGAACAGATATTTTTCATTTTTATTTTTTAAGAATATTTACATTTAAATGCAGAAGTGATACTGGCTTGCAGTTGTAATGTTAGCCAGTTTGATATTGAGATTTTTCTAGTCTCTTAATAAAGGCTTAAAGAAAAGCTTCATAAAATATCTGAACATTATAGCTGTCTGATTCGATTTTTAAAATCTGCATTTCCCTTTTTGCCCAAGAAGTTTTTTTCTTGTTTTTATTTTAGCAAAAGGTTTTACTTAATATCCTGCTGGAATGGCCTTTGGTGTGTTATTGTGTTTATTTTATTGAAAATTTCCTGTTTGATTGCTTTCTGATCAAGGAGTAACATATTTCTATTTCAAGTAACTTATTGATGTTCTCTATGATGTAATACATAGTCACCTTCAAATATTGATGTGCATTTGAAAAGATGGCACATCCTCTGCTCTAAGCATGTACATTCAATGCCTATCCATAAGTCTATCTCATTGATCATCTTATTTAATTCTTCTATGTCTCCATTGTTTGGCTCCCCAGTCTTATCTTCTCTTTCACCTGAAAGTAACCACTCTTCTACTTTTATGAGTTTCCTCCTTATTCATATATTATAATCACACTATACATTTATTTATTATATGAGTTACAATTTGTTTATTATACAACTCATAACATGTATAATAAATAAATACCCTTATTTTTCCTATATAGATTGGTGAAAGTTTTCCCAGGTTTTTCAAGTTTTTCCTGAAAGTAGAATGGCTGATATATGCAGATTTGAATTTCATTAGAAGTATAAATTATTATTTGTTTGCCTTATTCTATTTCCTTCATAAGGTAATACTTATAGCTACAGTCCGATCTTATTTTTTTTGTTTATTCCTATGTTGTTTGTAGTTACAAAAGAGCATTTATACATTTAGTGCAATGATCTTTTAGAATGGGTATCCTTTGTTTTGTTTTGTTTTTTGAGATGGAGTTTCACTCTTGTTACCCAGGTGAGAGTGCAACGGCAAGATCTCGGCTCACTGCAACTTCTGCCTCTCGGGTTCAAGCGATTCTCCTGCGTCAGTCTCCTAAGTAGCTGGGATTACTGGCATGCACCAACACACCTGGCTAATGTTTTGTATTTTTGGTAGAGACAGGGTTTCTCCATGTTGATCAGGCTAGCAACGAACTTTTGACTTTGTGATCCATTCGCGTTGGCCTCCCAATGTGCTGGGACTATGGGCATAAGCCACCATGCCTGGTTCCAGAATGTGTATACTAGAATTCTATTAGCTATAAGTTTTTATGTAGACAATGACTTTATTGATGTTTAATCCTATCTTTTGTAAATTACATTTATTGCTTTCTAATCTTTATACTACTTTTTATTGTTTTAGTATGTCAGCTAGAATCGCCAATGAAATTTTGACTAGAAACTCAGGTAATTAGAGTTCTTAACTTAATCTTAACGTTTTAATTAATATGAAAATGGTCCTAATGATTTAATTAAGAAGAAAATGGTCCTAATTAAACAATATGATTTCTAGAGGTTTTATGTAAATATTATGATTGTTTGCCAAAAGTGTCTATTATTAAAATATGTTAAGTGTTTTTAATATGGACAAAGAGTAATATTCAGTTAATATTCATATATATAGTAATAATTTTCTTAATAGTATATCGCTCATGCTCTCCAAGTTTAAAAGTTACACGATTACAATGTATTATTGATATAGAAAGGAGGCAGACAAACTCCCAGGCAGATAAGAAAGGGTCCCTGGAGAATCTCCAACCTGCCCAAGTGTTAACACCAAATGTGTGGCTAAGGGAAACTGCACAGGGCATTTTCCTAGGCACGTCTGCAGGGACTGAAGGCCACATGCACTGAGGGAATTCGGTGGAACCAATCTGCATGCAGGATCCCTCTCTTTGCTCAGAGCTTTCCTTTCACCGAATAAATTCTGACCTCCTCATTCTTCAGTATGTCTATGTACCCAGTTTTTCCTGGTCATGAGACAGGAACCCAGATTTAGCTTGACTAAGGAAAAAAAAATTTCTGCCTCTATCATTATTTTATTTGCACATTGAAAATTAAGTATACTTATATTTTAATGAATTTGTGACTGTTTCATACAGGCTTTTGGGGAATATTGCTATCAATATTATAAAATATGTGAGAGGTTTTACCCTTCTGCAAATTTCAAAAAAGAAAAAAGAAAAATTGTATAAGATATGGCATATGATTTCCTCAAAAGTTTAGTATAATTCATTTAAAAATTATGACTGTTAGCCAGGTGCTGTGGCTTACACCTGAAATTCCAACACTTTGCAGGTGAGTCACTTGAGGTGAAGAGAGTGAGACCAGCCATGGTGAAACCTTCTCTACTAAAAATACGAAAATTAGTTGAGCGTGGTGGCATGCACTTGTAATCCCAACTAACTGGGAGGCTGAAGCAGGAGAATTGCTTGAACCTGGAAGGTGGAGGTTGCAGTGAGCCAAGATTCCACCACTGCATACCAATCTAGGAGACACAAAGAGACTCCATCTAAAATAGTAATAATAATAAATGAAAATTAAAAAAAAAAACTCTGTGCCTTTATTTGTACTCAGATATGTGAGTGCCAACTAGATTTAGTGATAGAATAGTTAAAATTATATTTACATGTATCCATAATTTTGTTTAAATTTTGATTATCTTGTCTTCTTTGTAAAATGTCTAATTTTGTTTATGTTTTCAGATAGAACCATGATATATATTCTTATTTAAATACTAGAGACATTAAATATCAGCAAATCACCATGCTCACTACTCTCCCACTATACACAAAGTTTCAGGATGACCTTGAAAAAGTTTATAGCTATTTGGAAAATATAATTGTGCTTTAATGAAAAGACACCAGAGAGAAACTCTTGGAAGAGCTATTTTAGCCAATATGTAGCTAGAATATTGTAGGAATACAATGCAGAAAATGCTATAACTACAATGTAGATATGCCAAGTGAGAAAACATTTTTCTCCACAGCTCCTACTTATTAACTTTAGAGATTGTCAATTCTGAAGCCTCTAAGAGGTTTTTTTTTTTTTTCTCAATCTAATACATAATGGAAACATTTGTCTCTTTTCTGAGTTTTCAAGGTTTAAAAGATTTTTTATAAAATGTTTTCTTTTCTTCTAGAAGTTGCCTCTAAATGTCTTTGATTTCTGCTAATGGTAAAAGAAAGTCTGGCTGTGTTTCTGTTGTATATTTTACAATCCTATTACTAGAAAATAAATATGTCTCATTTTTTTAACTTGTAAACATTTTTTAAAAGGCACATCTCTTGTTCTTTAGCTAGTATTTTGTCTACCAAAAGGTAGTGGATAATCTAATCAAGTCAAATAATTTCTTCTAATATGCAATTATTTGTTTATTCTGCAAATAATTGTTAATCTTTATATATTTTGTTAAATAGATGAGAAGAATAAATTTCATGTACATATGCTATAGTTATATTAGAATTGTTCATTGACAACATTAAAAAGGCCTTTTTGCAAAATATGATAAATTGTATCAAATAAATTTTTTGAGCATTTGAAATGTACTAGATCCGAGATTAAATGATGCAAGAATTAAGGCATTTTTTTTTCCTCAGGGGAAAGTGCAAAAGCAGTCCCCCACCACCACAAATTATGCAATCGAGTTTCTCACATTTGGGGAAATCGCAGGGGTCAGCACATACGAAGTGCAATGGTAAGGAATTGAGGCAAATTCCTAACATGAAGGTGCTTACAAGAGCTGACTCAGCATTTAAATATCAAAACATTTAAAAGAAAATAATTTAACATACTTAATAATGTTTTGTAAGATATTAGTATTTTAATTAATTATTATTTTTTGGATTATGATGTAAAGCAAAACTATCTGAGACAGTTCTAATCCCATTACTGGGTATATATCCAAAGGATTATACATCACGAATACTCATTGCAGCACTGTTTACAATAGCAAAGACTTGGAACCAACCCAAATGCCCATCCAGGATAGACTGGACAGGGAAAATGTGGCACATATACACCATGGAATACTATGCAGCCATAAAAAAGCGATGACTTCGTGTCCTTTGTAGGGACATGGATGAACCTGGAAACCATCATTCTCAGCAAACTGACACTGGAACAGAGAATCAAGCACCACATGTTCTCCCTCATAGGTGGATATTGAACAATGAGAACACATGGACACAGGGAGGGGAGCATCACACACTGAGGGCTGTGGGGGTGGACTAGGGGAGGAACAGTGGGGGGTGGGAAGTTGAGGAGGAATAACATGGGGAGAAATGCCAGATTTAGGTAAGGGGGATGGAGGCAACAAACCACATTGCCATATATGTACCTATGCAACAATCTTGCATGTTCTTTGCATGTACCCCAGAACCTAAAATGCAATAAAATATATACATATTTAAAAAAAAAAAAAAAAAAAAAAAAAAAAAACAGAAAGAAAATTTATTTTTCCAAGGTTAGGGACATGCCTGTAACAGCCTCTGGAGGTTCTGACTACATGTGCCTGACCCAAGTGGCTAGGTTACAACTTGATGTTACACATTTTAGGGAGACATGAGACATCAATCAATACATGTAAGATATACATTGGTTTGGTCCAGAAAGGTGGGGCAACTGAAAGCAGGGACTTTCAGTTCATAGGCAGATTTAAAGATTTTCTCATTGGCCACTGGTTGAAAGAGATTTTAGCTAAAGAAGGGAAGTCTGGGTTATGATAAGGGGTTGTAGAGACCAAGGTTTTATCATATAGATGAAGCCTTCAGGTAGCAGGCTTCAGAGATAATAGACTATAAATGTTTCTTAACAGACTTAAACAGCCTGTTTTCTATCAGTAATTCGAACAGGGAGAAGGGAGTAATGAGGCAGGTCCTTCTCCACTTCCCATCACGGCCTGAACTAGTTTATAAGGTTAACTTTGGAATACCCTCACTGGAGAGGAGGAATCCATTCAAATGGTTGTGGGCTTAGAATGTTTGGCTTACAATAACAATACTTCAAAAATAGCTAAGCAAAAAAATTATAGAAGCAAAATGTAATCACTTTATAATCATAAATTAAAATTAAATATTTTAATTTGCCAGAAAGATAATTTAGGACCATCCAAAGGATTATTTTTTCTATTCGTCCAACCTAGTACTCGATGAGTTCTTACACGTCGTATCTCAGTTTTTATCACTATCAACTGGTATAAAGATGTGGAGGGTTAATTCTAAAAGTAGATAAAGTTTTACTTTTGTTCCAATTTTATGAAACTAAATATACAGCCCAACCTATTTTTTTTAAAAAAAAAGCTTCAAATACTCTTTATAAGAAGGGCTGTTTGCGTGAAAATTAGATAATATTACTTTTTCTTTAAACTGACAATTTTATTTAAATATTTAATTAATCAGTATTTTTGACCACAAAACTTTTTCACCATAGTCACTGGTATTGTACAATAAAGATTATGTGTTATAAAATTATTTACTATTTACAAAACCAAAATACAATGGCATATAGTTATATGTTACAATATTTAATTTGAATGGGAATAAAAAAATTATTTTAGGAAAATATCCATCTAAATATGTAATCCAAGTAGCAACGTTTAGATTCTTAAGTTAAATTAAAAAGTACCACTGTTTTTGTAAGAAGGAAGATAGACAAGTCTACTATTCAATCTCCCATTTAAATGTCCCTTGAGTCCTGAAATGGAAATTAATGAACCTCCTTCTCTAAATGAGTTCAGATGCCCACCTCCATATAATAAACTATGATCATATCATTGAGATTTCAAAGAATCTCCTTGATAATAGAAAGCCTTTACTAAGATACTACTATTTACCAAATTTACTCAGATTGTATATATTACCTCCTCTATTTTTATAACAACTACTTGGAATAAGGATTGATTAATTTAAACAATATATATGAATTGTAGCACTTAAAAAACAAAGTGCCTACCTTCATGAACGATAAATTCTGGAGGAGTCAGAAAATGAGTATAACAAATTATCAAAATACAAAATGTTATTTAAAGATTGATGTTATCTTTTAAAAAGCAGAGAAAGGGAACAGAAAGTATCTTTGGGAGGAAGTGCTAATTTAGGTTGAATAAGAGCAAGACTTCCTTCAAAGAAGACGTTTTAATAAAAGTCTAATGTTGATAAGAAATATAACAATGAAAATGTTTTGGAAAGAGCCTCTCAGGGAGAACAACAAGGGTAAAATGTCAGATTAAACATGTGTGATGTTTACAGAAAACATGTTTGGGGATGTCTGGGAATAGCAAGGAAGATAGTGTAGCCAAAAAGGAAGATGTGTGGAAGAGTATTTGAGATAATAGAGAGAGAATGATTAAGAGGTAACAGATCCCAGAATATTTGAAGTATTTCTAAGGACTTGGAATTTTACTATGAGTGACACAAAAAGTCTTTGAAATAATTTCACCAGAGGAGTGAAGCCACCAGAGGAGTGGCTTCATGGTGAGAACGATTGAAGGAAAGGGGAAACTAGATCAATTAGGCGGACCAATTGGACCAGTGGTTTTGTGGATGCAGGGATGACGAGGGTTTTGAGAAGTGGTCTACTGAAGCAGGATATATATATATATATATATATATATATATATATATATATATATACACACACACACACACACACACACACACACACACAAACAAAACAAACAACAACAAAAACAACGACAAAAGTTTCCCAGCCTAGTTTACTCCAAGGCCTGGAGATAGGCAGAGCTCAGGTAGAGCTCTGACAGCACTATCACTATTTACAAAGCCAGAGCCTTCAAAGGAGGGGCTCCAAAGTTTCTGCTTCTCATTCCGGAACAGAAATAAAAACAAGTTTAACAAGTACCCTCTATTTCCCAAGACTGTTCTCTGTTCTGTCAAGTAACTATGTTTCTGCAAAGGTTATAAGGTTTTGTAAGTTCCCATCTGTGATCTATGCCAAAGGTCACAAGACTTGCTTAAGATGCAACATCTGTCACTGCTTGATAACTGCCTTTGTCCTGCCTCTGAGGGCTTGCCTTGGTGCCTTGCAAGTTCCACACCACTGAATGCCCAATCCCCTTCTGTTGCGTGCATAAAAGTCAAGCCCTGTTTTTGTCCAGGTCTCAGCCTTTGGATGATAATCTGCTGGGTCAGTGGCCACTTCAATGAAATCCTCCTGTTGCACCCATCAGTGTCTCCTGTCCCTTAATTCCCACAACACTGTAACTTCAAAAGGCTGAAGCTTGGCATGGTGGCTCACGCCTATAATCCCGGCAATTTAAGAGGTTGAGGCGGGCGGATCACTTGAGGTCAGGAGTTCAAGACCATCCTGGACAAAATGGTGAAATGGAGGGTCAAACTCCTGACTCAAGTGATCCACCTGCCTCAGCCTCCCAAAGTGCTGGGATTACACCCGGGAGGCGGAGGTTGCAGTGAGCCAAGACAGCGCCACTGCTCTCCAGCCTGGGGGACAGAACAAGACTCCATCTCCGGGCGGGGTGGCGGGAACTTATATATACAAAAATTAGCGGGGCATAGTGGCACTTGCCAGTAATCTTATCTACTCGGGAGGCTGGATCACTTGAACCCAGGAGGCAGAGGTGCAGTGAACTGAGAGGGGAAAAATAAAATATGATAATTCAAGGAAGAAAGGAGAAATGTGGAGTGACATCTTTGAATACGAAAAAGGGAATGGATGTAGCACACAAGTGACACAGTTGGCCTCTGTAAAGAGTAGAGAGCTCACACATATTTAGAGGAAGAAGGCACAAGACACAACATCCCAGATACAGTGAACAAGGATATATGTAATGCTGGGAGCTTGATAAAATTTTCTTCCAATTTTTTCCTTTGTTACCCAAGTAGGAATAGCAAAATAAGTTTGGCAGATGGAAATATGGATGCGGAAAAGGTGTTAGATGTTTAAACAATTAAATAAAAGAATAAAATACTCATCTAGAAGAGTGGAATATTGAATGAGCCAAAGAAATATGGCATGACTGGTAGGCACTAACATGGACCTAGTAGAGATAACTCTTCACTGTAAAGTGACACCAGTCATAATTACGCTTATTTTTGTAGATTAGGAACAGATGCAGAAAAAAAATAAAATGCCAAATATCACACAGAAAGTTACTGCCAAGATTAAGACCACATATGAACTTAAGATAACATAATGATTAATTAATCATTTTATCTCACCTGCATAACCTTCATGGTTTCGCCAATATTTCCTTTGGAAACCAGAAGGTAGAGTGCTGTCAAATTTTGAAGCAAATCATTCTCATTCCCCTATGGAAAGGCACTCCACTCACACAGAGGATTTAGGAAGGAAGCAGAAAGAAGATCCATGCATGAAAACAGAATCAAAGAAAGCCAATGTTTCCAATTCTAGAGAATGTATCACCATAAGCAAACATGAAAACAAGAAGAATATGGAAGCAGTTCAATCTTCAAACCTACCAAGATTTTGGCATTGGTAAGAAAAAAGTTTATAGAATGGAAAAAAAGGCTATTTTTTTTTAACTAAATATTCTTCTTTTGATATCTGCTGACAGTGGGATATAAGGAATTTTAATTCACTGTCCCTTAGGTTCCCATATATATATGTGTGTGTATATATATGTATGTGTGTATATATATGTGTGTGTGTATGTGTGTGCGTGTATATATATATATATATAACATTACATTATACATTATATTACATTACATTACATATATATATATATATATATATATATATATACATATATATGTAATGGG